CCCTGCCAACGCTCCAGGCCTGGGGAGCGGCTGGAGAGCTGCCAGGCAGAGAGGGAACTAGGGGTGTTGGTGGACAGCCACATGAACATGAGCCAGCAGTGTGCCCAGGTGGCCAGGAAGGTCAACAGCATCCTGGCCTGTGTCAGGGATGGTGTTGCCAGACGGAGCAGGGAGGTGATCATGCCCCTGTACTCGGCTTTGGTGAGGCTACATCTCGAGTACTGCATCTAGTTTTGGGCCCCCCACTACCAGAGGGACACTGAAGTGCTGGAGAGGGTACAGAGGCGGGCTACCAAGCTGGTAAAGGACATGGAACATATGGTCTATGAGAAACGGCTGAGGGATCTGGGGCTGTTTAGCCTGGAGGAGATTGAGGGAAGACCTTATCACTCTCTACAACTACTTGAAAGGAGGCTGTAGCAAGGTGGGGGTTGGTCTGTTCTCCCTAGTCACAAGTGATATGACGAGGGGAAATGGCCTTAAGTTGCGTCAGGGAAGGTTCAGGCTGGATATTAGGAAAAAATTCTTTACTGAAAGGGTTGTCAGGCACTGGAACAGGCTGCCCAGGGAGGTGGTTTAGTCACCATCCCTGGAGGCCTTTAAGAGACAGGTAGATGTTGCACTGAAGGATATGGCTTCGTGGTGTCGATAGGGCTAGGAAAAGGTTGGCCTCTATGATCTTAAGGGTCTCTTCCAGTTGAAACTGTTCTACAATGCTATGATCTTGAGTCCTTCCTGCTGCTTGAAAACCAAAAGGCCATTTGGTTCGCCCACAATTCACTAAGCAGGGAAGGCAGTAGCCTGGGGGAGCAACAGAAGGAAAACTAAGGGGAGGCCAGGTTTGCTTTGCAACTTGTATCTTGTTCTCCCATCACACATCCTTGAAATAAAAGCAGTGGCCATCTTCAAAAGGCTTGGTAACTGAACAGCACAAATCGCAACATCTCCATCCAGATAACGACAACGGAAAATGCTTTGCAGGCAACCCATAAGCTCAACAGTACACTACCACGTAGGAGAAGGTTTGGATTATTTATAGCTGACACACAGTCGCATGCCAGACCTCTGGCAACTCAAATCCTTTATGAGCGTCGTTCTTCGCTCTGTGCTGAGCACCACAGATCTTACATAGCTTGTATTATTCAGCTAGCAATCCAGCTGAGATTTTCACATGTAAACTGCATAATTCTTCCATACCAAGCCGACAACTCACAAAGGTTAGATACTTAAAAAAAACCAGATACTAAAAAAAATAATAAAATCTGAAAGGTGCTTACTCTAGCTTGAAGTACAAATGGAATTAAAAATGGATGCAAATGTTTTGGATGTCTTCATACTGCTCTACTTTCATGTTCCAAGTTGCCAGAAGGAGTGAGTTAGGGAGGAAGCATGGTAGGTTTCAAATGGTTATGACTACTGTCAGCTGTGGTCACTCAAAATATTTGCTAAGATTCTAAAAAAAAAAAACCACTAACCAACCCAAAACCAATGAAAACCCCTTAAGATAGCTATATGGTGATTTCATTTTTCCATTAGATGCACACCCTCCTACCACTTTAGTGAGCTAATGTTAAATTATCTCATTTGTGCTTAAAGAAACAAGTAATATAGACATAATTAGTGAGGTGACAGGCAGCTCTAATCAAAGTCTCAGTGGTACCAAGCCCTGGAGCTACTGATCTTGAAAGACTCATGCAGACCATGCCCAAATCCTGTAATTCTTCAATGCACAACTCCATGGTCAGCATCTGTGGGATGCTGAAACTGACTGGACAGCTGTTAACCATAGCTACAATTAGATACTACCGATGCCACACAAACAAAAAATGGAGTTCAGCAACCTCCGCCCTCCCTACCCTCACATCCTCACAAACTGCATTACCATACCTGACATTCCACGTCGCAGTAGAAGGCCTGTTTACATCTTCCGCACTTGGACAATCCTTCTTTCCTTAAAAAGAAAACAGAGGTTATTCTATTCTAAGTATGAATGAAATATAAATGTATGCTGTATCACTCTGTGCACAATATTTTGCATTCACAGTGAAAACTGTGTTTTCTTCAGAACACAACCACAGCTTGAATACCATCTTCTGACTGCAGACACCTTTTTTATTTTAGAGTTTCAAAAGCAATTTTTTTCGTAACAACAGTTACTATGCAAAAGCACTCTGTTGTACTGATAAATTGCTGGGTTTGGAAACATGCTATTCCATGCTGTTTGACAGACACTATCCTTTTTTGCCACTATATGATAAATACTGAAAGCTAACTTTTCCTTGTTTTCCAAACTTCCCAACTGGTCTTTTTACTTGCTCACCAGTATTAACACTTTGCTTCTGCTCTGCCAGTTCCATTGCTTCTCATCTGGTTACAAAAAGCATGACCATTCTTTTGTGAGTAACCACCTCCAAATACCAAAGCCCAAACATTTTCCATTATTAAATACACTGTTTCATCAACTATAACCACATAGTCTCTTACCGTCCTGCAAATGTCTGCTCTTGGTATCAGCGCATTCTAAGCTGACCTAAGAGTTGTGCTGTCCCTTTTTTGTATTTGTATATATCCCAGCACAGGGAACTGCCAAAGGGAAGGTCCTTTTCTGCTTCAAGGTGCATGTGTTGTAGCAGATCCCATCAAAAATAGAGCATGTGTTACCCAACACGTGACATTTTAGCATGACAGCAGTAAGGATCTCTCAGGGGTATTGAAGACTTTAAAATGCCTACACACCCTCCCTAGTACAAGTAGAAAAGAAAATTTCCTAAGCTGAGGTAAGTTCATTGACATAAAACAAGGGTGAGTGCTCCCGTACAACACAATAGTATACAATACTTCAGAGGTCACTGGTACTTGGAGGCCCTGAGGCACAGCAAGTCTTGCCATTCTCTGTTCTTGAAAAGCAGAAGGTGTAACACGAGCAAGTCAGGCTAATATCATGACTCTGCTTGCTGCTAGTATGTATCTCAAGCAGGGCTACATACTTAAAGTAACAAATACTATCAGATGCAAACACAACCATTCTAGTCTCATTCTGTCCATTTTACTGTAACAGTTTTATGACCACTTAGCAAAGTTTCTCTTCCCAAGAGAAGTGATGGGCCCACAACATTCCTTCTAACACTCTTTGCAAGTCCAACAAGACCAGTACAGAATGCAGTACATGCTAGTTTAGCACTGAATGCAGGCGGGCACAGGCACAAAACACATTCCTCAGTACTGGCAGATCAAGTTACACCACAGAGATATCTTTCCTCTCAGCAGAACCTCATCACCCTGGCGTGGCAGGTTTCACACTACCCCACTGTAGCTGCTGTGGTGCATTTAGTAAATTCCTTGGTCACTGCGCTCCTCCTGCGCTCCATAGGAGAAGGCTGCATGCAGAACAAGCAGCTTCTGGAGATGATATTTAAAAGCTATTCTATCAGATAACTATTATCTCTACAGTACTATTTCTTATCAATGGAAAGTATTCTTTAGTCCTTTTACAGAGAGAAATCTTCTGGATGTGATAAGCAAAACTAACTAGTTTCGTTGGCACAAGGGAATTCGTGTTTATGCACAAAAGAAAAACCACAAACAAACCAACCTCAGGGGCTAGGAAAAACCCCCGTTGTGAAGAAAAACAGAAAATCACCTCAGTTCTACAGTTCTTCAAATTAATGGGACTCACTTCACCAGCTTCACTAGAACTGCATTATAGGCTCATATGCAAAGACAGAGATGAATAAAGTGACTAAGTCATAAGTAGATAATGTAATGAGGAAAGAAAAAGGACAAGGTTAAGAGAAAAAAGTGAGTTAAGATGAAGGGACAAGAGATGAAAAGACCTCCTGGAGTGTAATAATTATATTCTTCAGTCTGCCTCTGCCTACATATACAAGCATTACTTAAGTATTGACAAAAATAGCAAAAGTACAATGGTGGTTTTCCTTTACTGAGGCAAACATGAATATTTGCTCCGAGTAATAACCAGGCTAGTATCACAGTTCTTCAGTGAGCTGCCAGAAGTCAGGAAAGCACCATACCTTTTAAAAATGTGTCACATCCAGGCCTTACACTGCCTTTTTTTTTTTTTTTTCTGCAGCGGCTGACAAGGAGAGGTTTACAGCAACCACTGGAATACCTTCAGCAACCAGAACTCTCCCTTCCACACAGGTGAGGAGGCAGCTGCTGAGCGCCCAGCAAACCCGTGTGTCTGGGCAGGCACAGCAGGCCTGCTCTCGGCTTCTACGCTCACAGCCACGCAAAAACCAGCCACGCACGCTGCCCGTGCCTCACCCTGGCAAAAGGGATTCCTGCCAGAAGACTAAAGATTTGCACAGAGCGACGGATGTTTCTCTATGTTCTGCGACATATGCGTACATAATATACGTATTTCTGTACGTTTCATTACTTATTCGTGGAAAGGCAAAACGTCCTAGGCAGACCCCTTCTCCCTTGTCAGACCATTAAAGCCAGACAGCAGGACGTTGCTACAAAAGAGAGGGATGGAGGGAGCTTCCCGTGAGAGCGAGGTTACCGCCAGAGAACGTGTAGAGCAAAACTTTTCTCTTTTTACGGAGCCGTTAGGCAAGGAAAACCAGTTCTGAGGTAAAAGCT